GGTACTTTCAGCATTCTTCGCCAGCACCACAACTCAAAAGCATCAACTCTTCTTTGGTCTTCCTTATTCATTGTCCAGCTCTCCACATGCATACCAGGCGATTGGAAATATGGCTTGTGTCAGGCGCACCATAGTCCTCAGAAGTGGTGGTGTATTTATCTTAATCCACTGTGGTCACAGAGAGACCTTGCTTGATGTTGACATTTTATGAAATTGTTGATGTTTAGCAGAAGGACATCAGGGCCTAGCTGATAACGCTAAGACAGTCTCAGCTGTCAGAAGATATTTTTCTCTTCCTGACTCAAAAACTACATGTCATTCAGGGCTTTGAACCACTTTGAACTGGTTCAGTCACAGTGCATGCAGCGAAACCAGGACCAACAGGAATTTGCAAAAATGGGAGTGCCTGGAACGATAACTGGAATGGGAAAAATTTTGAGATGAAGCCCTGGAATGGGAGACTTGGAAGAAGTGTAGTGGCATGGTTGTCCACTATCTTTGAGCAGGACACCTTTGTTTCTGACTCTCTCAGGCAAGTGATTTGGTTGGTATGCAGCCACCCATTGTCCTTGTTTTCTAAGTGGGAGATTAAGTTTTTAGCAGGTGCCAGCTCATAATTTTCTCCATATCAGTTATCATTCCAGGCATCCACATTTTGCAAATTCTGGTCCACGCAGGTTTCACTTCCTTGGCCATGACTGAACTGGGAAGAATGGGGTTGAAGCCCTGGTGTCATTACTGATGCCTCTCTTTTGTTCACCTCCATATCTAATCAGTTAGCAAATCTTTATTTGTAAAATACTCTCAGATTCTCTACATTTGTCTCATCTCCATTGCTTTCATGGTCTAAGAAAAAATGAATGAACCCTCTTCATCTGAGTCAATATAACAGATTGTTTCAGTGTCCTTTATGATGTTCACAATCTAGTTTTGTTTCCCTATTATTACATAGGGAGCTCAGGTAGTGTAGTGCCGAAGGCACTTGACTGCTAACCAGAAGCCTGGGAGTTCAAACCCACCAGCCCCTCTTTAGAAGGAAGGTTGGGCAATCTACTTCTGTAGTGATACCGCCTCAGAAACCCAAGGAGGGGTCTCTATGAGTCGGGTCCAACTTGACGGCACAAAACAACAACAACACTTACTACGTAAGAGGAGCCTGGGTAGTACAAGCAGTTTATGATCAGTTGCTAACCCAAAGGTTGGTAGTTCAAATCCACTCAGTGGATCCAAGGAAGGAGCCAGTGTTCAACACCAAGTCTGAGACCTTAGCTCCTGCTCAGAGGCACACAGATGGTTAGACCATCCCATGACTCAATTTTCCTGGTGACAAATCTTATCTGTTATCTTAATTTTTTTTTTCTAGTGAACTTTCATACAGATAGGTACATCTAATCTGTCAGACAGATTACAGCCAAGAAAACCCTGTGCAGCAGTTCTATCCTGTAACTGATGGGGTTGCCCTGAGTCAGAAGCTGACGGTATGGCTGCAAACAACAGAGACACTATGCTTACCTCAGCTGTTTCTTGGGTTATTTCTACAAATGGCCACCTCATTCCCCACCTTAAAAAAATCCTTCCAATTCCAGCCAAACAAAATACAGGCATATGAGTTGAACATTTACCTCAAGTAGATAGACTCCTTGGAGAGAACAATCATGGGAGAAAGAAGGTCTGTGTGTGCGCAGGGAGACAGCTCAGGGGGCAGGAGTGTATGGAGGGATGGACACTGGGAAGAGGTAACTATGGGGAGGAAGTGGGAGGGGAGCTGTTGCATTGTGGTAAACTGTGGTCAATGTCATGAGACAAAGTATATGTGAACTGCTGTATGGAAAGTTAATTTGCTCTGTAAATTAAAAAAAAAAAATCCAGATCGTGTTATAGAAATATTAATACATATTTATAAAAATGGAGCCATACTCTATATATTACATATCCTGAAACTTGTTTCCTTTCCACCTAATTATATTTCTTTAATGCCTATAAAAGTTCATTCTTTAATTCATAATTCTTTATTGCTCAGCCTCTTATCAGGTTAATAATTTGTTAGGTGCTATCTGTTAGAATCAAATCTTCTCAATAACCCTGTGGTCTGGATCCTGTTGTTGCCTGAATTTTACATAAAAAGAAACTGAAGCAAGTTACAGCCTTCAATTCCCTCAGTTGCAAGCATAGGAATCGGTGTTCAATGCCAAGTCTGCAACCTCCACTCCCACTCAGAGACAGACAGACAATCCCGTGACTCCATTTTCCTGGTGACAAATCTTACCTGTTATCTTAATTTTTTTTTTTCTGGTTATAAAACTAACACAGGTTCTTCATAGAAAATTAGTGGAGGGTATTGGTAATAAAAGTATAAAGAAGTAGTTAAAAATTACCTTAATACCCACCTCCCAGGACGTTCCATTATTAACATTTGGGTGAATATCCTTCCAGTCTTCTTTTAAACTTTTGTGTATGTGTGTATGTGCATGTGTGTTCACTAGAACCTGTGTGTGAAAGTGTAATATACAAATAAGGGCTCTGCTATATGCTTTACGTGTATTATTTAACTGTAAAAACTGGACTATATTACAGACAATAATTTGCCCACATAATAGTCATTAGGAGCTCTGGTAGTATAGTGCCTAAGGCATTTGACTGCTAACCAGAAAACTGGTGGTTCAAACCCACCAGCTACTCCTTGTAAGAAAGACTGGGCAATCTACTCCCGTACTGATACAGCCTTGGCAACCCAAGGAGGGGTCGCTATGAGTCAGATCTGACTTGATGGCAGTGAGTTTGGTTTGGTTTAATAATCGTTAGGTGACAGTGTTCAGTAAGAAATAACCACGTCAGGATGTGGATACAGAAGTGTCATGTTTTACTCCACCAGTCCAAACTGTTGGCAGCAGTAACCTATCAGGGGTGAGGTTATTTGGAATTTGTACTTTATGGGTGAGAGTTTTAAGTTTTTACTTTTTTCCAGTGAATATGTAATACTTTGTAATCAGAAAAGAGATGTTTTTGAAATACATGCTACAAGATGGATGGAGCT